ATGCCCTATTCAATGAATGGTGCTGGGAAAATTGAATAGCCACATGCAGAAAAATGAAACTGGACCTCTACCTCTCACTCTACACAAAAATTAACTTAAGATGGATTAAAGACTAAAATGTTAAGACCTGAAACTATAAAAATACTAGGAGAAAACCTAGGAAAAACTCTTCTGACACTGGCCTAGGTAAAGAATTCATAAGCAAAGTCAACTCAGAATTAAAGACTTAAATGTAAGAAACTACTAGACAAAAAAATACAGGAAATGCATCAGGACATTAATCTGAGCAAAGATTTTATGGGTAAGACTTCAGAAGCATAAGCAACAACAGCAAAAATAGACATATAGGAGTGTATCAAACTAAAAAGCTTCTGGACAGAAAAGGAAACAATCAAAGAGGGAACAACCTATAGAATAGGAGACATATTTATAAACTATTCATCTGACAAGATGAGTATACAAGTAACTCAACCAACAGAAAATAAAAGAAACCCAATAATATGATTAAAAGATAGGTAAGGAATTTGAATAGATATTTCTTAAAAGAAGATATACAAATGGGGTAGTGCCTGTGGCTCAAAGGAGTAGAGCACCTGCCCCATACATCAGAGGTGGTGGGTCAAACCGAGCCCCAGCCAAAAACTGCAAAAAAACAAAAACAAAAACAAAAGAACTTTAAAGAAGACATACAAATGGGCAAAAAGTATATGAACAAAGCTCAACATCACTCATCATCAGGGAAATGTAAATCAAAACCACAATGAGAGATAATCTCATCCCAATTAGAATGGCTATGATGAAAAAGACAAAAAATAACAATGTCGAAGATGCAGAGAAAAAGGAACTCTTAGACACTGTTGGTGGGAATATAAGTTAGTACATCCATTATGGAAATGGAAAAGACACCTGCAGCCTCCATGTTTACTGTAGCACTATTCACAATAGTCAAGATGTGGAATCTACCTAATCATCAACAGAAGAACAGTTAAAGAAATGTGGTCTATGTACACAGGATGGAATATTATTCAGCCATAAAAAGAATGAAATCCCATCTTTTGCAGCAACATGGATGAGCCTGGAGAACATTATGTTAAGTAAAATAGGTCAGCCCAGAAAGATAAAGATCAAAAGTTCTCACTTGTATGTGAGAGCTGGAAAAGATGGGCTCATGGAGGGAGCGGGGGGACCTGTAGTTATTAAGGTTGGCAGGAGCAGGGAGGAGTGCAGAGTATGAAGGAGCTGATTAATGGATACAAAATGGTAGCTACATAGGAGGAGTAGGTTCTAGTTTTCCACAGCATCGTGGTGCAAATATAGTCAACAATAATTTATTGTGTAATTTCAGACAGCAAGAAGAAAGGATTTTGAATGTTCCTAAGACAAAGAAATTATAAATATTTGAGATAATAAATCTGCTAATTATCCTGATTTGATCATTAAATATTGTGTACATTTCAAAATATTACTCTATACCCATAAATATGTAAAATTATTATGTCAGTTATAACTAATTTTTTTAAAAGAAAGAAAGAACTAAATAGCTAGTATACAAATATAACAGGGAAACACCTTTAAATTTTATAGGATATGTATGTGTTACCTATTTAAAACTTCAACTGATAAATTCTAAAAAGAAGAAAAATTACAAATTAAAATAATAAAGTACTAAATAAAATATGTCCTTGTCTCCTACATTGTCAGATATATTTTCAAAAAACAAAACAGAAAAATATGTGATTGGATGAGCAGCAAAATAAAGATATTGTAACCTGTAAATATGAATATTAAAATATTTAATAAATATTAAGAAAAATATTCCATGAATTTAAAATTTTTATGCCTTCATCTCACAAAATCACTAAATATGGCATTATAATAAAAAATTCTATAAAATTTGAGCTCTGAGAGTTATAACCTAAAAGATAAATTGAAAATAAAATGTAACTATAATCTAAATGTACACAATTTGAATGTTTTAATCAAAATATATGCATTAAAATTAGTGCAAAAAATTGTAATTGAATTATTTTTATATATTTACAAAGGCTATTTTAAAATTAAATGTTTCCAATTATTTATTAGAGTTAAACATGTATACAAATTATAATAAGTATGAGACATTTAATTACAATTTAAACAAAGCTGAAAATATTGATTTGAAATTTCGCCAATCTTACACATAGATTTTTATGAAAATAAAATTATTCAGGATTCCAGCATTTAATACTCATATTTTATTGCCAATGTACAGAATCCAGATAATGCTTTATGCATGTCATATCTATAGTCACACATGTACAAAATTAGAGTCACATAAATTGTTTAACATCATAAAAGATTCCTCTGCCACCATGAGCAATTTTTTTTTCAGTAATCCTGGAACCAACGATTGGAACTGAAGAAAAGCAAAGACGTGGTCATTCATCTCCACCAGGAAAAAAATTCACTGTGAAAGAATCTACTGAGTTCATATTATCTCAGAGGATTTGACAAATTAGCTAATTTATCTTTTCTCTTCCCTAAATATTTTTGTCCATCAGTTCTTCTTTGTGTTTCTAAATAGCGTTTGCCTCCAAGAGTAAGAGGCAAACTCATCAAAGTGAGTTAAGGGAAAATTTAAAAAGTCAAGTCAAGGTTCTAATGGCTACACAAAAAATTAACAAACCATTTATTTGTTCAAAACATAAAAAATTTAGAACAAGGATCTACAAAGGTTGTGACTCATCCCCTGGCCTGAAGGTATTATTGTGCAGTTTAGGTCTGTTAATAAGAGGCCAAAAATCCAGGACTTGTTTTCTATAGCACATGATGCAATGATGTGTTCTCAGCTAACGCCCTCCTAATGTCAGAACAAGGTAACTAACAATATCTCACATTCCACTGGAGACAGCAACTGTTTACCTCATGTAGCTTGGACACCTCATGAAAGTTATCGAGGTGTTACTATTCCTCATATGTGGAGGTAATGTCACAAAAGATGACTACGATTTGTTGAGGAATATGCCTGCTTTGTGAACAAAGCCAAGCCTGCCCCTCACTGAACACGTGACAATGTTTTTTGGCTAAAAGTCTGAAGTGAGAATTTGCAAAGCCCATCTCCATTTAAAACTTTGCTCTGGGGGATCATGCATGCTGTGAATTCTTTTTCTTAAAATACCTACCTAATTACCAACTGGTTTTTCTCAGACTGCTACAAATTCTGAAACTAAGAAGCTGTTTCTCCTGCATTTTCTTGACAGACCATTGTAAAAACCATAGAAAGTTACTATTTCTATCAAGAATCAATTAATGCTTTCCCTGTTCAGATAAAACATAAGCTAGAAGAAGGACAACGTATTATATTTGAGGCCAGATAGGTCTGGTTTCAGATTCTACCTCTGCCCACCCGAAGTTAAATGATTTAGGGAAAATTATAAAACCTCGATTTCTTCATCTGCAAATGAACTAATTCTTTGTTCATAATGCCATTGTGAAAATTAAATGATATAATCACTACAAAGTGCCTGGCACACCGTATATTCTCAAAAATAGTAGCAATTAGTGCCGACTGACAAAGACTTGTGGAAATTGGCTGTACTGCATGCATTCATCAGTCTAATAAATATGTATTGATCCTAGTATTAATATATTCCCGGCAACTGGGCAGGGTGCTCAGGATTCAAAAGCTGTTATTTTTCACTAGAAGCTTAAGTTTTCGTGGAGATTCAGATGTGCACGGGAGAGATGCAAAATCAGTGTCAAGCACAAATAATGGGATAGCTAATTTTGCTTGGGGTGTTAGGAAAGGCTTCTTAAAGAAGACAGGAACTAAGCTAGCAGAATGAGCAGGAGTCTGCCAGAAAAGAAGGAGAAGGGCACTGGGGGCAGAAAATTGCAATGGCATGGAGTTATGCCTTGGAGTTTTCACATAAAAGAAAAGTACGGAGTTGGAGAAGGGCAGCGTAGCCATGTCAGGCCTTTTAGATGGCTAAGAGGCAAGACCCAGCGGATGTGTTTGAAACTAGACCAGAGACGCCCTGCTAATCACTCAACACTGTAGCTCTAATTGAACTCAAACAAGATTCCATTTCTCGGAGATGTGCCACTTTTGATGAGTTGGCTTAAGAAAGGATTAATCAAACCCCCTCAGTACAGTAATGTTTATTTGTTAGTGCATTTTTCTCAAAATAAATCAAAATTGGGGGCAGAAGGGAAACTGTTATTTTGGATTTCCAGCTCTTCACTCCCCTATAATTTCTGTGATGGGTTGCCCTTTTCACCAGGAATACCCTGGGACATATTCTAAAAATCGCTGTAACCAAAATGCATGCTTCTTAGTTAATAACAACACAGTGCTCAATTCCAGGCTCCGGAAGGGAAGGTTTCTCTGCAGAAAATGCACTCTCAAATCTTGCAAAGTGATGTGACAAAGTATTTGACTCGAAACTAGTGAAGGTAAGACCATGGCTAAGCATCAGAAAGAATTAGGCTGAGAGGAAGAAAAAGCCTTGTAGCTGCAGGCAAACCCCCGAGATTGGGCAGAACCTGACAAGACAATTCCATGGCTAGAGACACCTCCACATGTCTGCAACAGCTCTCTGAGGGAAAATAACAGCCTTACTGCTCATTTGGGGGAAACTGTCCAAGCACAGTAGTTATTTCCAAAGCAATTCCACTGACATGAGGTGGAGATGGTGCAGAGTGCTGACGGTCGTGTAGGTGGGAATCCATCCTTCGGTTCCAAGGACAAGCCTTCTAATGGCACAGAAATTAAATTTTCCCAGAATAAGCCAGGAGTATTATCTAACACCACTGCCACCTCTTAATATATGGTGGATTCACCTGCTACGTGTTTGAATCATGACTCGATTCTATAGGAAGAATCTATTTCTCATTACACTCTTCCAAGCTGTCACAGCTATTTAGGTAGATTCTATGGAAAATCTAAGTTAGAAAACAGTCCTTTAAAAGATTTTTTTTTTTTTTAAATGAAAGGAAGCCATTCGTATGAGTACACTCACCATTCCGTGATTCAGCCACCCTGGGATAAAGTTATCAAGCAACTTCGGGTATATCATTTCTCTGTCATAGGCGTAAATGATCCAGAACACCGCCACGACGAACTGGAAGGGAAAAGAAATCTTTTAAGTTCATTAACTATCCACAGCATACAGTTTGTTGGTTATTTATTGTTTACAGAATTTGGAGTCTGTGATGAAAGGCAGATCAGTAAACCAGTTAACAACTGGAAAGAGTTCCAGCTTCTACTGGCAATAGCTAAGGTGCTCCTTTCTCTTCCATCTTCTGATTCTACTCTCTCTGCCAAAGGGAGCTGTTTGTCAGGGAAAGGGTAGAGGCCTGTCATCAAGAACAGCTCCAATTCAGGGCTAATTGTGCTGGTTTGATTCCTCTCGAGAGGGTTTAAAAGTTCACTGGTGGTTTTCTCGGCTCTCATTCCCCACTTCAGGGTTAGCGCACATTGGAGAAACTCATACAGAGTGTGTCCCTTTTCCTTGAACCCACAATGTGGTTTAAATTAATCTCCACATTCTCGAGTTTCCATTTCACCACTAATAGCTCTGTAACTCCTGCTGTAAAATGCGAAAAGTCACATTTCCAGCAAATGTATGCATGTATACAGCCTAAGCAAGGATGTTAATGGTACTGGGAGACAGGGTATATGGAGATTGAAGGCAGATTCTCTTGGAATATCTTAGAAGTTCATATGGGTTCCAGAGTCCTGTTTTGGCACATTAGCAGCATAATCCTCAAAGGAGAGTAGAGGACTCTATTATTTTACCATTCTTCGAACTCAGGGTGAGAAAAGTTCAAATAAAATAAAGAATGAATGGCCCACAGTCTTAACTTTTCTCATCGAACTTAAAAGAAAAAGTGTTATGCTTTTCCAAGTGTCGAATAATGTACCTCATTAATATTTTGAAAGAAAAAAAGAAAAAAGGACAAATCATATAAAGAAAGACATCACAAACACAAAAACGTGCTCGATCTTATAATAAAATAATGCAATTAAAACTACACGGATGAGATTGGCAGAGATCCAAAAGTTTGACACCATACTCTATCAAGGTGCCTATAGGAAAATCAGCTCTATTAGCCTTTATTGGTAAGAAGAATCTAAAATGATGCAATCATTATGGTGGGGAATTTAGTTATAATTAGCAGAAATTATAACTATTTGCCTTTCAATCTCCTTATAATAAAAATCTTGTCTAGGAAATCTAGGAATCTCTTTCAAAGATACACTGGGGAAAAGCATATGGCATGAAGTGTTCATGGAAGACCATAAGTGAAATATTTTTAAACGATAAAGAAAAATTTTCAATTAAATTAAAAGGTAGTATGAAGAAGGGAATCATCCTAGAGAAAGGATTCCAAATCTCTATAATGTCTCAAAATAAAAACTGCTATGGAATGAAAAATACAGCATGAACATTTAAAAAAAATTTTGTTTCAGTTTTTATAGATGTAAGTCATCTATGCTCCCATATTTCATTAATAAAAATAGTAAATATTTTAATGCTACTTTTTACAAAACAAGGCTGGTAGCTCAAGGCTAGTAATCAGAAGGGTTTCAATGTCATTTATTCATTGGGAATATTGGCCAGAAAAAAAAATTCACCCTTAAAATATAGCATGTTAGAAGCATTTATTGTTTTTTAAAACATCACAAATGATAATTAAAATAGGCATCTATAGATTGATTACACATGAACTTTTCATACCACATTGGGATCCCACTTACTCATCTTTCTTTCAAGTCAACCATTTTCACTTTCAGTTTATAAATACACAAGATGAAAAGGGGGGGGAAATCTATTATTAGCTTAAAGATAACTATCATAAATTTCTAAGTACAATGAATAATTTTTAAGTTATCCACATTTGGGGGCTATTCCTTCCAGTTCAGACTTCAACTGTACTGATTATCCATGGTAATGGCATTGATAAGGTACATATTTGATAGTCACTTTAAATCTTTATTATATTATTAACCCCCAGCCCTAAAGCATTCTGGAACATAGATTACTGCATTTTTCCATTCAACAAATAGAGCCAGGTTTTCTTTTCACTGACTTTAATAACATTTGTTTTTATGGAAGGCTTCACACATCATAAATGGAACCTCACTATACCTCCATTAATTTTGATCTCACTTGTTTGGGTGACAATATAAGCAGAATCTACAATTCATTTGTTTTAGTCTTATTTGGCAAAGGGAAGATGTGCTAAGGAATCAAAACCATTATTTTTCTTTCATATATATAGGTATATGTTGAATAGTAAAAAGCATATTATTCTTTTTTCCTTGAATGACCTTCCAATTGGTAAATTTGGTGGGTTGGTGAAAGTCTAGATTGCTAGAGATGAAGGCAGGTAGGGGCAGAAGCAGTGGAAGAGAAGGCGTCTTTTCAATGACAGCAGCACAGGGGAAGGAGAAGGAGGCCTGCCGCATGACAGAGATGGGGAGGGTACACGGGACTCTAGAAAACAGGAGAGCTGGGCAATATTGTGAGTGGCTGGAAGTCAGAGTAAATGGAGATGGGAAGGCAGGGAATGACTCATTCTGATTCCCAGAAGAAAGGAAAAAGGATTATGAACACTGATGAAGCATTCCTCCCTTCTTTAAAATGGGACGCAAGCACATGTGTTGACAACTGGAAATAGGGCAGAGCACAGAATGGATTTGAGATGTCAATAAATACTTATAAAAAGAACTGTCATGGATTGGGAGGGTCCAACTGAGGTCTAATAGCATGACTCTGTAGTAGAACCAACCAGGATGTTCATGAATCTCCACAAAGAGGTTCTAAATCAGAACAACAGGGAGGAAAAGAGGATCATGGAGGGCTTCTTAGCACCATGGATTAGGTAATTGGAACAGACTGAAGGTCTGAAGTGAGGGATGCTATGAGATCAGGAAGAATATCTTTAAGTGACTGATCACTATTTCTAAGCTGGTGTCTGGAAAGAGGTGGTTGCCAATGAACTATAAGAGGTATCACACGTAAAGCTACTGGTGACATAAAGGGGACACAATTTAAGATAGCCCTTTCTGTTTTCACTTTTTTCTTTTTTTCTGCATAGATTTGACAATTCTAAGTGACACACATGCAATTAGGGCTGATCCTATGCCTCAACACCAGAGACCACTGCCGGCCAGGCATCATGGCAGTACTGTCCCAGATGGAGCCACTGGTGGAAATTTCTTCACCTTCACCATATACATGCAACCTAACTGAATGACAAGAATTTACCCCCATCATATTCACAGGTCTCTGTTACACTCAAGGGGAGGGGATGATATGGGCTGGGGGCTGGTGCAGCCAGGGGTCTTGGAGCCACTCCAGAATTCTGCTTACTCCACTCGGTTCTTCCTTTCCAAGATTGTTTTTAACTATTTTAAGTTCTTTGCATTTCCATTTAAATTTTAGAATGTGGCTCGGCGCCTGTGGCTCAAGTGGCTAAGGCACCAGCCACATACACCTAAGGTGGCGGGTTCGAATCCAGCCCAGACTCGCCAAACAACAATGACAGCTGCAACCAAAAAATAGCCGGGCATTGTGGCGGGCGCCTGTGGTCCCAGCTACTTGGGAGGCTGAGGCAGGAGACTCGCTTGAGCCCAGGAGTTGGAGGTTGCTGTGAGCTGTGAATCCACGGCACTCTACCCAGGGGGATAGCTTGAGGCTCTGCCTCAAAAAATAAAAAATAAAAAATAAAAATAAATTTTAGAATGTTAGCTTATTAATTTCTACATATATCCTGCCAGAATTCTCACTGTGACTATTTGGAGAGAACTGACATGTTAACAATATCAAGTCTTCCAACCCATGAACATAATTTATATGGATCTCTATTTATTTGGGTCTTGTTTAAATTTCTCTCAGCAAAGTTTATAGGCTTTCAATGTACAAATATTGCACATATTTCATTGAATCTATCCCTAAGTATTTTATGTTTTGTGATGCTATTGTAGTAGTATTACATTTTTTACACTGTTGCTAGTTTATTAAAAAAAACCCTGAATTTTTAACACTGACATTGTATCTTATGTCTTTGCTAAATTAGCTTAGTATTAATGGTTATACTAGCTATTTGTGAAATTAGTTTCTATTTTTACACTTACACAATTTGTATGCCTTTTACTTTTTTTTACTGCAATACCTAGGACTTTCAGCAATATGTTGAATAGAAGTGATTAGGAGGGATCCCCTTTATCTTCTTCTCTATCTTAGGGAAAATATTCAGTCTTTCACCATTTAAGTTTGACTAGCCACCCTGTATCAAGCTGAATATCTCTTCTATTCTTAACTTACATAGGAGACTTATTTTTACAATAAATGAATGGTGAACATTTTCAGATAGTTTTGCTGCATATCTTGAGATATTTCCCCTTTTACTCTATTAATATGGTGAATTATATCAATCGATTTTGAATGTCACACTAATCTTCCATTCCTGGTCATCATGTATTATGATTTTTATACACCGAGGTTTCCCAAAACCTATACTGTGTACATATTTTAAGAAAGGAAAATGCTGTACTAAATTCAAGTTTTGTCTGACTTCGGTAAGTACAAGAGATAGAAGATAACAAACATATGTTGAGTATTATAATCTATAAGTATATGTATTTCTAGATTTGATGTGCTGATATTTAATAAACTTTTATAATCTTTATTCATAAGGTATACTGTCTGTAATTTTCTTTTCTCATAATGTCTTCTTCTAATTTTGGTAACACAATAATGCTGTCCTCAAAAAAATGAGTTAGAAAGTGTTTCCTCTCGTATTTTCTGAAAGATCTTGTACAAGATTGGTATAATTTATTCCTTACCTAATTGATATACTTCTCTAGTAAAGCTATCTGTACTTGTAATTTTTCTCGTGGACAGATTTAACTGTAAGTTCATTTTCTTTAACAAATATAGGGCTAATCAGGCTTTCTACTTTTTCTTGAGTTGATGTTAGTCATTATCACCTTTTATGGGATTTCTCCATTTAATCTAAGATTTTGAATTTATAAAGTGATTCTTAATATTCCACCATGGAAATTGGCAAGTGCTAAAATTAGGTATTTTTCCCCCCTGGAGAGTGAGTAGTT